CCCCTCTACTCCCCTCCCCTTCCCTCCCCTTCCCTCCCCTCCCATCAACTCCCATCAACTCTCATCAACTCCTCGCCCCATACCTCACACCCTCACACCCGCCCTCTCTCCCTCCTTGCACCTACCTCACACAGAGATTGCGGTGGGTTTGCAATGGAGAACATGCCGTTGGCGAGCTTCATTTCTCGGGGTAGCGAGGAGTCTGGAGGAGGATGGAAGAGGGTGGAAGAGAGTTCAAGGCGTCTCGAGCGCTTGTATTGTGAGGCGGTAGGTTGAGTAGTAGGTCCTCCTTGGATGTTGTTTAACTGAGTGCACTAGATGGCATCTTGAACGGCGATGTGCGGATGGAGGGGTGAATTGGGCAATTAGTGTTGGGAGCCGTGAGTACGGAGTGTGAGCGTGGAGGGATCGAGGCGAGTGAGGCCAGACGAGACGGGTTGGAAGCGGCACGCAGGAGGTGGAAATGTGTGAGGGGTGTGTGGACGTGGAAGGCGATAGGAGGAGGGTAGCTGAGGGAGGTTGCGCGAGGCTGGGACAGAGAGACTCTATTGTTTGCCAGAAATGAACTGGGCCAATCCTCGAGGTAATGCAATACGAGGCCGACCCGTGGACGGGGTCGAGCAAGCTCATAGCACCCGTCCTGGTTGGAAAAATACAGGTAATTTCATTGGCCCCAAATTAGGGACCGTTGCAGAAATTACACTGCAAAGAACAGATACTACACATGATCTTAGCTCAGAGAGCCGAGAAGCGATAACGAGGCGCCGCACCAAGCCTAACCCACTTCCACACCTACACTTGCCTCTCCCACCCACACCTTCACTCACAATCCTCACAACCACCTCACAGACCCATCATTCACCCGCCAACCCTCACTCCACACCACCTTCGCCTACCGATCCAACCCACTCCAGCTCATTGCCCAACCGCTTCGCGCTCTTCCCCTCGCTCTCCCTCCCATTCCATCACCCCGCACACACTACTCACGCCTCTCTTTAGCGGCTTGCACATCAACACGCACTCTTCTCGCCTCCTCTTATTACGCGCGCATGCTCGTTAACGAACTATTATTTGAATACTAATCTTATTTTCTTTTGAATATAATACTTTATTATTGCTTTTAATTTTATATCAATTTACTCACATGTCCTATTAAATTGTAATTTTTCTATAGTTCTGTTGCTATACATTAGGGAAAGTATTGCGTTATGCTTTTTTCGTAAATCCGCAAGTAAGAATGAAGGCTTTAATATAATTTGCTGAACATTGCTTATGCCTGTTGATGCAAGATTTGATTCCTCAGGCGTACAAATGTTCTTCTTCAGATACCGGTCTAATTGCGCAAGTAGCTGGTTACGTAAGTCCTTTAACTTCAGAAGACATTCTTGTGATCCGCACATTGGGCATTCATCTGCGTTTCCACTGAAGAAATTTCCACATTTTTGGCATACAAGTCTTTCCAGTCCCTCCAATGACCTTTGATTCCAGTTATGGAGGCAAGCTTCGCAGCTACAATGTTAATGATATTGAAACTTAAGACATTTCTGCCTTTCTTCCGTCGATTGCTCGTAGAAATACGAATGATATTTTATGGAAAGCTGGCTTCCAGCACAAAGAGACCTCATGGCATAAATTATCATAATTCCCTTGTCAGACATTAGAGCAGAAGCTGTGGGGTTGCAGGAGTGATTGATAAGAGAGATAGTTGGATAAATAGAGATGCCCAACTTTTCATATGTTGGCGAAGTTGAAAGCACTTCTTCTGCTATCGTCTCAACATTATGAAAATCGTTGATTCCTGCGGCTTGAAGATGGTGAAGCATACAGGCTGCAATCCAACATGCTGGAATAATGTCAGGTCGATTGACGATCGAGGGCTCGCGGAAGAATGCGTCGGTTTCATTAAACCAAGTTCATTGGGTACCCTCCGAGCTGAATAGAGCAAATCAATTTATTGGGTTTATACCAGGCTAATCAATACGCTTATTCTTTTCGCCTTTACCAGCAAATGATAGCTGAGTATATGGCAATACTAGGTGACTCTATTGTCATTTAGTGTACATTTTCGACTCGTTTACTTCATGTTGACATGCACATCGCCTTTGTGGAATGATAGAAAGAGAGAATAGTAATAACTCACGTGGAGACAGTAAGTTATAAAACAGCAGCTATAGTTAATTCCAGCAGATAACCAGTTAGACGTTTTTCTGGACCAGTGAATAGAAAAGCGATTGATGAGTAATCAGAAGGATCGAAAACTGTTGGGGGAACACGTTGAGTCACGGCTGTTTGTTGGAAGGCCTGATGACCGTTTCCTTTCTTCCAGATAAATAGAGATAAGTCGATTAAACATGAAAGAATTTTAATTGTGACAAAGAGGGTTGAAGGGGGGGGGAACTTACAGTGTAAGAATCAGTAGAACAGATGTAGTCCAGAAGTTTATTTGGTGGGATCTTCGAGAGACAGTTGAAGGCCAAATGTGTCAGTTCGCATGTGTCATTGAAAATAATGAAAGGACAACGACTCTGACAATCGTAAATGTGTTTATTCCCATCTTCTGACAATTCGACTCAATTCTTTGCACTCTGTTCGCATTCTACACTGCAAAAACCCACCTTTATATGAGTTAAGAGAGTAGATTTGCAATAAGATTGGAATTTTATCTAATCCAGCAGAAGTACTTGCATGTGGGCAGCCGGAACAGGGTTTAAGATTGTGACATCTTTTGCAACAGCAGTAGCAGTACTTAATGCGCGAATTCCATGTACTCATGGCACATGGTTTTTCAATCAGCAATATATCTCCTAAAGAAAGCACAGGCATGCAGTAGAAAACTGTGGACAACCAAGAAAGTACAAGGGAGTGCGCAAATCACTATTATATTCTCTCAATTGTGCTTCTATTCATCTCTTCAAATTGACAAGCTAAACTCGGCTCTGTCTTTATCAACAATCTCAAAGGAGGTGGATAAAGCAAATACGTGTGTATCAGAGAATAAAGGTAGTATTTTTGACTCTCCAAGGGCTGGCCTAATAGCGACGAAAGTGATGTGTAGCAGAGGCCCCTAGTACCCTTTACAGAAATTAAATTACCTGCGGACACATTTCGTGTTACTTCCATAGCAAAACCTGTTTTGGCACAACCTGTGTCCTTTAACCTCACAATACCATTTGGAGCAGATAGAAGTTTCGAGTTTACGACATTTCTTCTATCAAACTCAGAGGCACCAGAGGACTCAGAATCGTTTATGGACATCTTCTCCTCGACTTCGTTTACACTTGGTGGTTTAGGACGGAAGCAGATAAACCTTGGCACATGTGATTGTACCTCACTGCTTGTGTCTGATTGTGAAAGGATTTTACCTAAGGCCATTGTAGCTTTTAGGCAACTTTCCATATTTCTGTTGGAATTCTCTTCGTTGAAGATGGACAAGGCTTCAATATAGTGAGATTTTGCCTCTTCGAGCATATTCTTCTTTTGGTAAGGCATTGGCCAAGTACAGGTGGACATTCCCCATTTTATTTTGTGGTCATGACAACAAAAAATATAAAATCAGGTTTTCAAATGTATTTAAGAGAGGCAGTTTTAAATAAAACTCGAATACTAAATTTAATTCAATCCCAATGTGCCAGTGATCTAATAATGACATTGCGAAATTTCCAAAATTATTATTTTCTTTGATTCCTATTTAATAAAATACCAATACAATCTTCCTTTTCTAATTATTATTTTGAGTCTGAATTGTAAAGTAAACTTCAGTAGTCAATTGCTGTCACAGCAGAAAACTCTTAGAAGATAATCTCTGGTTCAATTGTTTCAATAAACGACCGAAAACATGAAAGACTGTCTTTGGATTTCACAACCTTCAAGTGAATTTCGTTTACACAAAATTGAGCATCAAATTGACCTACATTGCTGACACGGCTGAATCACAGAATCGAACATTCTAGAACACGCTTTCGTGGTGCTAATTGCAATAGGAACAAACTTGGTCACGATTGCGGTTTGTGCGATAGACTAACCTCCAAGTGGTGCACTCTGGGCAACCCTCCACATCCACCTCCTATACCTCAATTCACTTAGCATTTAGAGTGAAGTTGGTGAGATTAGCTTGAGGTGGGCATTTTCGCTAATCTATATGGACAACAGTAACAAGTTTTCAGGTGCTTGGTGGAATTGAGCAATTCATAATTGAAAATTTGTTGAGGATGCATAGTGGAATGTTGGTAGGCAAGAGAAAGAGTATTGACGCTGGCGTTGAGTTGGTGTGGGAATCAGCCTAGGTCAGTGTGTCAGTCAGCCAGAGGTCATTAATTGATCTGGTGTGAGAAGGGAATGAGAGTCATTTTCGTGGCTTCCACCTCTCATCTCCACATCAAGATCCTGAAAGGCAAGCTTCCGTCGAGTTCTTGAGCAACCTAGTAATCCGTTGATGTCAGCTAAAGTACTGCGAAGTGTTATCTGAATTTTCAAACGAAACTTGGAGTTGGAGAATATTGAAGACACATTCCCTCTCACCACTTGAGCAGTAGCATTGTGGCCTTCAACGCGTTTGGCGGCAAATGTGAAGACTTTTGCTCCCACTTTCTGTCTTATTAGAAGTCACATTGGCATTAAAACGTTAGTTTTCTTGAGTGATACTAATGATAGAAATTTTTCAAAGCATTCGGAATTAGTTATTCGGTTGTGTTAGTAGATCAAATACCATAGATTCTCTCGAAATAGTCTTTCGCACTAATTACAAAACTAGCGCATATCATCCATAAGGTTAAATATTAAATGCGCTACTAATTCCATTATAAGTTGAAATAGGTTGTGGACAACTGTGCAAAAGTGTGCCTCCGATAAGCCAATATCAGCAAACTTCATGCAGTCGACATTGGAGCCAATTTAGATTTGAAGATGGCAAGTCTGATGTCAAAGGATTGTCCGAATCAAATGATGGTAGTAGTGGCACCCAGGCCATCCAGTCCATTGTGTGGTTGTTTTCTCTTACTTGGCTATGATGTGGGAGTTTGGCGGCATGAGTCCCGTTGTTGAGAAAATCGACTTTCCCTCAAATTCCTTTGGTCAGTGTCCATGTCCACTTCGCTCACTGTGCCATCTCCTAAATTAGCCCAGGTGCCACCTGAGAACTCTTTATTTCATACTCAACGTGCAATAAGAACAGCAAAAATCAAGAATCTCCTCACATTTCGCCATTCAACGTTATGTCATCCCACCGTCTCATACTTCTGAGTGTTGATGCAATCCCAACAAATAATAACTTTTCTATGCCCGGGCTTATGTTTCCACACATAAAGTAAGCGAATCCTTTAAGTTTATTGGTATCCAGTTCCACCTCGCACCTAGGAAATATTTTACTTATTGGTGACACCGTCGGTAATCTCACCATCTCCTGCAAAACATGACAGACCACCTTTCCTAACATAAATATGGTAGATAATACTTATAGAAAGGTGCGTGGAGCTATAAAAATACATAAGTAAGACAATTTTCATGCCAACTCACAGTTTTATCATTCTCATTGTGGATACCAGTGAGAGAACGAATGCATTTTATAATACGTCATTAGATGTATTTGGTCAAATATGTACAATAGATTTGAAATAAATGGAGTAAGGAGTAAAATATGTCGATATCAGTAGTGGATAGCAATAACATGTGAATACACTTTTTCCATCTATAGGCCAATAAAAAATAGATGTTAGAGCTTCGTAGAGGAAGGTCAATTGGTTCGAACATTTTATATCAACATTCCACATGAAGTATTGGTTTAACCACCGGTTGTGATTAGTGAAATGTAAAGCTATTTGGCTGATGATAATAATCTGTTAAGCTGAATAAACAGGTGCATTCACCCAGGCTTCCGAATGCACGAGGGACATGCCAAGCTTCTATTACACATATATGATACATTTTCATTTATATTGCAGTGTAT